CATTGAGGTGAAATGAAGTAATTCTTTACCAACATGATAAATGAATAAGGCTAGAACAGGGATGACTAATCTCTGGCATGAGAGTCATGAGTGGTACAGGCAACCTCTGTGTGGTACATGGCAGGTCAGGGAAGGAAGGGGAAGGCAGCACAAAGCAGAGCAGCAGATTTGGACAGGGGAAGGGGGCTGGAGTGGCACCCAAGGATGGCATGGGGCTTTTATTTATGGCATGCCTGCTAAAAGGTCTAGGTAGAAATATTAACTTCATTATGATTTCAGCTTGTGTCTCTGCATTTGTCTGTTTGCTACTATCTCTCTCCTGTTTGTCAAGCTGCTACCTTTGCTTTGTTTAGTCTCCATTGAAAACGTATTTTTTCAAAGCTTATAAATTAACATTGTATAAAGGAAATTTAAAGAACTACAACCATACTTCAGTGCTTCCATCTTCTAACCATCTGTCTGCTAAATTGTAAATTCTCTGAGATTGGGAGGGCCTGTCTTTGTTTTTGGCATTTTGATACAGTTCTGAGCACCAACCAAGTAATGACGCACTAAATTTCTGAGCCGATTACTGATACGATGGTTCTACTTTTTTTTTAATTGCTTTCCATAACAAGAACCACCTTTTCTCCATTTATTGTGTGCAACATAGTGGCAAACAGCAAGGTATACTATGTTTGGGCAAGTTGCATTCAGACAGTACTCACATGGTTGTGATTTTTTTTCTTTTGGTCAAAAAAAAAAAAAAGTCTAAAAGTCTTTGAGGCAGTGGAGGCACAGATTTGTTTAATATGGTACTCTGATTTATTGTGTCCTCTCAGCACCCAGTATTCACATTCTCTCTCTCTCTCTCCAGACTTGAATAAAGCCATTAGCCCTATTCAAAGAAGCAATGAGGAATGCTTGTTGTCTACAAGCTGAGGTATCGAGTAACTCAGTAGTTGCAATTTTCTACATGGCTGACTCTGTAGCATCTGAATTTGTTAATCTGGAAGCAGTGTTCTGTTTGTAAGTGGATCTTGAAGAGATGGTCTTGAATTTAAATGCTCTTGCCCTTTAGAAGAAAAGAGAAGTATGGGAGTGGGGTATCTTACTGAGACTAACACAATATTCAAACAAAAGCCACAGACAACTCTGTCAAGGGCCTGAGTTTTAGAAATGGCTTGTGCTTGCATCAGCAAATCAAGCAATTAGATGTCTAAATATTTGCACCCCTAGTTCAGAGTGAATGCACAACTGAGAACAGTCGTTGCAGTGATTCATAAAGAAAGAAGGTTAAGTCAAGACTTCACAGAACGTTTAAACCTGCTCAAGGGGGTGGGGGTGGGGGGCAGGAGGGAGTTATTTCCTGGCAATGCTGAACCTTGCAGCTGTGCTCTTCCCAGTTTGCTAGAAGCCTAAACAAAGGAGGCACATTATAGGTAATGCCTATATGCTAATTCAATTAAAACTCTACAGGCTACTGCAACAAGCTGGTTACCAATTCAAATCTCCAAAATAAATAGTTTGCTGGAAAGGCTATGATTCTGTCGATCCTCATCACAGCTTAATTGTGTATCGCTGTCATTGTATGCTTCCATTTGTCATCTGTGCAGAAAAGAGCTCAGATAATTAGAAAATAACTTGTGCTCTTGCTCTGAAGTTCAAGCATGATAGTAGTGGACAGGATTTCTGAGTGGCCTTCAGTTCGTAAGGATTATAAAGTAGGTCTCTTCCCCACCCCCCATGAATATTACCATACCAAATTTGATCAATAGCATGTCACAGAGCAAAATATTTTCCAGATGAAACTGTGAGAAAGCTGTTGTGTGTCTTCTGTCTTCCTGTTCACTGCTCCCAGCATACTGACATCTGAGACAAATTGCCAGAAAGCCCAGTGTGCACTGAACCTAGCACCTCTACAGTGAGTTTGAGAACTAGGCTTCTAAGGCTAAGTACAGACAGTCAAAAAAAAAAAACAAAACAAAAAAACCCTGGGGCAAAAAACCTGAGGCTGAATTGATTCAGTCTTTGCAGATTAGTCTAAACTGCAAAGATTGAACCAATAAGCAAATTAACAGACATTTACTTTTGATTCAGGAAATGCAGCCACATGCCTGCAGTAGCTCAAGCCAGAAGCCAGGGCGCATTAGAGCACAGCTCTGGCATGTAGCCAGAATGTGCTGTGTGCTTGTTTCCTCTTTCTGTTGCCCCCAAGGTCCAGAATCACAACAGCAGGACTCTGCAGGGTTGCTCATCATTTCCTCTTCCTGCTTCCAGATGCCTCTGGGATTTGTAGTCCACAGTTGCAGGCTACACTAAGTAAGCAGGGCAGGGTAGCACAGCTTTGTACTCGGGGGAAGGGAAGTTTAACACCCCTCCCTAGCCCCAGACCCCACCAAGGGTTTGCTGGGGGAGGGGCAGTTAGTGAGCCAGCCCTCACTGCTCCAGCTAGGGAGCAGAGTGGCAGTGCCAGCCCTGATCTCTGGAGCAGACAGCACAGCCCAGCTCAGTGCTACAAAATGCTGGGGATTGTGATTTAACTTGAACCAGGAAGGGCTCTGGGACACAAGTTTCATAAACTGCTTTGACCTAAATCTGTTAAGTCTGGTACTACATTTAACCAGGTTTATCTTAAACCAGTTTCAGCCATTTTGAAACTCTTTTATGTGCAATGAACTTCTATTCTGTTACAGGTTTAAACCAGTTTCTGATCACTTAAACCAATTTGTGTAGCTTCTGTCCCTAGTACTGTCTCCAAAGGCTGCTGTCTACTGGTTTACACCAGGAAGAAAAAAATATGGAAAACTCCAATGAGGTTTATGAATCATCTTGGTATAATCTAGGCTCACAGACTAACATGTATTAATCGTAAACATATGGTGACTGCAGAAGATCACTACAGGGCATTAAGTTTATTTGGCTACATTATTGGTTCTTTTTTTTTTTTTAACCTTAATAAGTTCAGATTTCTTTTAACCATAACCCTAACTCAACTTTTGTTGGTGTTTGGGCATGACTATTATATTTCTGTAAGCATTTTTGTCTGTAAGTTATTGGGATATAAATTGAAAATTAAGTGAATCTTAAAAAGGAGGGAGGACTTTCTGGTCTATCCCTGAAGAAAAAGACCAAAGTTGATCAACATCTTTTTTAATTCAATAAAATGGTCAGGATAAGATTCCGGACACCAAGGTGCTCGGAAGATCACTTCTCCCCAGTGTTCGCACCCTGCTGCAACTGGCACAGCTAAGTTGGGCCAGCCACCTCTCAAGAATGTTTGACACTTGACTGCCAAAGAAAATCTCCTATGGCTAACTGTCAAATGAAGTACACTTTCGTGGCGCACAAAAGCGTTACAAGGACATCCTAAAGGTGTTCCTAAAGAGTTTTGGCACCAACCCAGAGTTGTGGGAGTAAATCGCTCGCAACCGTCCATCCTGGAGGTCCCAAATCCAGAATGCAGCATTGGCCTTTGAACAGCAATGCACGGCAGAAGCCATAAAGAAATGTGCGGCCAGGAAAACGAAAACCTCCTGTATCCAGCCCTCATCGCTCTCCTGCCCCTGCTGCAGCAGATTGTTCAAAGCAAAGATCGAACTTATAAGTTACCTATGTACTCGTGTGACCTAACCTCCACCCCCTTCTTCGTTCTCTTCCCTTTCCCTTTTTTCTCCTTTCCCTTCTTTCTCCTTTTGTCTTTTCTCTTTCCATTTTTCTTTCCTACTTCTTTTCTCTCTTCTTCCTTCCCTTCCCCCCCTGCTGGATGCAGTCGTCTTTGCCCACGAAGGATGAACAAAGCAGCAAAACAGCCAGTACAGGTTGCAAGTGATTGATTCATCTTCCTTCCCTGGTAACTTGCAGAGGTGCAGCATAAGTTGCCATGAAAGAGGAGAGGGGGCTGATCAGATTCTGTACATTTGGATCACCTACTGATTTGTCTAGTCTACAGACTCCACACATGATTTCTGAGTCTGTTTAAACTAGACTGCAGGAATTAGATCTGCAAGTGCTTGTGGGGGCATGAGAAATGTGTAGAGGGGAGGATTCTGCAATGTGACGTGTAAAATACCAGAGGAGAAGGCTGGAGGTTTCTACACTGCTCAAAAATAGTAAACTTTAGAGAGAGAGTGATGATCAAACGTTGAGCTCTGTGGCTGGCAGTTTCTAAAGCTCAGAGGATGAATAAGCCATACCTTAAAGAAGGCCAGAACTTGAATACATTTGGCCTCAGGAGATTTCCAGAGGAGAAAGTAAATGTTTGGCTGGACATTAACAGGAGCAGCTGCTCTGGTGTTTCCTTCTTTTGCCCAAACTATTTCCTTTGCTTCACCTTCTTGCTTCTGTGCCAAACAAGCCTGCTCATGGGGCATCCCCAGTGCCTGGACTATGGACCTCCTTTTCAGCCTCCTTTACACCTGGAATTCTGCTCTGCCTATGAGAAGTTTGGCTGCTGTGACCAGGAAAAAGACAACAGCATTGCAGCAAAATACTGGGAGATCATGGATTACATTAGTCCCCAGGGTCACAGGCTGTGTGGAAGGTATATCAAGGATATCCTATGTCAGGTAGGGCAGATGGTTTCAACCTGTGTGCCCACTATTGGTTTCTATTAGGAGGTGATCTATCTTTTATCACTTCTACATCTATGGTGCTGGGGGTAGGGGGTGGCAGTGGAGGAATATTGTTAATGGATAATAATTGATCCCAATGTGAACTAGATGTGACAGCTTGCACAAAATTGAGGCTAATATAAGTGCATGTAATAATGATTACTCTGATTGCAAGATCATTACCTATCAACCCCCTGATCAAATTAAAGAAGCTGCTGTTAGGAGAGACAATCCTAGCCCTTTTGTAACTAAAGCAACATTTAGAATAAGTTCAATATTGATGTTTGAATTCTGCTCATAAATACAGGGTAACTAGATGTCAAGTTATGCAGAACCAAATGAAAAGAGAATAGGAAGCTCAGTGTTTGTATTCCCAGGTCTCATGGAGGGTGTGTTTAGATTGTCTTGCTGCCTAGTGCTCTGTAAACGTTGTGGTTAGTAAAGTAGAACAAAATTAAACAACCAGCAGATTCATACAACCGAAATAAAATGAGGCTTCAGTTGCTGTGTTCCCTCTGTACTGTCTTCATCTGGCTCCTGGAAGTAGATGCTGTGCAGTGGCAAAATACTAAAGGCACAGCCCTTCCTGAGCTCCGGTCAGAACAATGTTTTATTATGGGCAGAAGGGACCTGACTTTTTTAACGACCTTGTTAGTTATGCAGGTCATGGTTTACTGTATGAATGCCAACATAAAACAGCCAAAACACACTTTTAGGCAGACACAAAAATTCTTCCAACTTTCAACTTCTTTAGACACAAAATATTGTCCATGTTTACCAGATACTTCCACTTCTATTGGAACATTGGCAAGATTCTGGAGTCACTTTGGAAAAAGCCAGTGTTTGGAAAAAGAAGACTAAACGCTTCATTGGTCACTTTTACAGCCAGCTAATCTGAAAAAAAAATGTGGATCATGGCAGAAACTCTCAGATTCACACTAATGACTGAGAGGCCCAGGGAGGATTTCCGGTATGTGACCATTAGAAAGCAAAGATACAGCAATAACAAAACTGCTGCACCTTTTTATTTTGATCAGATAAGCAGAGCTTAGTTTGAACTCATAATCCAGTTTTGGGAAAAAAAACCCATATACTGGCATATATTTTTTATAAGTATCCTGAGATCTTACAATGAACCTGATAGAATAGGATATATATCACAATAATAATAAATTAACTCTGTGATGAGCAGCAGCTTGTGATTGTTAAAGTTTTAATAGCCTGTTCTGCTTCCATTCAGATGGGGATAGGTGGGGTTCCTTAGTAAGAATTATTTGCTTATTGCATTAGCATAGTGAATGGGGAATGAGTAAATAATGAATTTATTTTCCTCAGTCACCTGTTATTTCCAGTACATTAACAGTAATGACAGATTCTCATTCCAGCAAGTAAAGGATGTCCTAATAATTCATAATGATTGTGTGAAATGTCAACACACAGACTTAGTGTTACACAAGTTTAAAAAGATGATGCTGAATAGTGACACTATCAGAATCTAGATTTGCAAGTGGTTGCTAACTAATAACTGCATGTAGTAAGACATCAGTGAGACTACTTACTGTTGCAAATACTACCTCTGGTGCTAAGTGTTTGAAGGTCAAAACTTAAGGAATAGGCAGAGAAGGAGAACATTATTATTTGCTCACATTTTTCAAGCAAATTAACTTAAGAATTAATTATAGCGAGAGTGATTCCTATGCTTTTTTATTACTAGCTTGCATTGCAAGGTTCTCCACTGAATTTTACTACAGGGGTATTCAGCAGCTGTTCTGCTATATAGTGGTCAACATATAAATATTTTTGGGAAGTCAGAATAGCAATGCCCTTGGAAACAAATGCATCCATTCTGTACTAGGGATAGTGGAATTCAAATGACGGGTCTGTTTTTACAGCTTTTCCCATTGGTACCAGGATGCTGATAAGAGTTGATATAAAGAGCTGTGCAGTGGAACTCATCAACAATCCATAATAAGACTTTTACAGGTCTTACAAAGCTCAGGAGCTATGCTGTGCATTCTCAAGCACCATTTCCTGACACCCTCTCTATACACTAATGATTTACAGATAGAGAGGACCATTGTAATAATGGTTGGCTTTGAATGCATTTTTCATCAAAGATTTCCATCTGTTACAGTCCAAATCACCTGCATTTGTCTTCATCATTTTAGTTGATGTTAAAAGAGAAGGTGTAATGCAGCTTGTTTCCATTGACTTGAAAAGAACTACTCTGACCTCAGCTGAAAGTTTGGGCCATCTTGGCTAACTACACTTATTTTAAATCTGTAGGACTATTAAGTCTGGTTATCACTGGGTGTAAATGGTTAGCTACGTAGAGATGTTGGCTTGGAAAGTGCATGTGAAGTCCATGCCAAGACTTGCCCTTAATAACTTTAAGCTAATGTTTTTCAGCCAGGGTGCCACGAGATCTTTTTAAGTGTGTTATGTGGTATTAGTACTGTTAGGTGGGCAAACAACCACACACAGTTCATGAGATAAACCCAGGGATGTCTTCAACTCCCTTTGCATTGTCCTACCCATGTGAGGGAAATGGGAACAGGTGACCAGCAAGTACAGAGAGACAGCTTGATGCAGTTAACGTGACACCTTTATGTCAGACGTTTAACCAACATGCTGGCTGTTGCTTGCATTCCTTACGAGACAGCCAATGTATGTGAAAAATGAATGGCTTAGGAAATAGCAAAAGCTATTACCTGAATGGCTGGGAAAGAACCTTCACTATTTAGAAGGTGTAATATGTTCACTACCAGACTCTAACATTGCAAGGGCTGCAGCTAGATCTTAACATTTAAAGATGCTGAGACCACCCTTAAAAAAGAACAAGTGCATTCCAATGGTCCAGCAGTTGCCATAGCTCTCAGACACCTAACTACTGTGGGACTGACTCTGGTCTCATGCACACCAACACAACCCAAAGAAAACTCTTTTCAAGTCAATGAAGTGTTGCCAGTGCAAAATTGAGGTGATGGCCAGTAAATGCTCAAATGCACAGAAGAGATCTCAACACTGAGTGGCAAACAGCTCTTTGGAGCCAGCTTCAGGAAAGTACTGGCTAAGAGAGTCATCTTTAGGTTTTACAGGGCCCAACATACAGTTGGCTTTATCCAGTTCCCCACCACATCCCAATGACATCTTGCTTGAGACCTTTCCTTAGTTTCTGGTGATCTCCACCTAATCTCATATTTTGTGAGATCTCGTCCTGCAACCTAAATTTTATACGTACATGTATGTGTGTGCACTGACCAGAGCCAGCTGGGGTTATGTCACAGAGGGTGGAGTCCGTAGGCACTCCTGAGGCCCATCCAGTTGTTATTTGCTCACATCAGGGCCTCCCACTTGCAGGTGCCTTTTAACAGAACAAGACTGGACAGAGACCTCTGTTGCCTTGGTTTTCATTGTATTGAGGACAATAAGAGCCCATTGCTGCCCTTCAGTGTTTTTGGAGGGCCCTAAACTGCAGATCTGCCATGATTTTGTAGCTTGAGGCATAACACAGGCCACAGGACTCTGCCCCACCATATCGCACTGCAGATTTCTGTTCCACAGTGCCTTTTTGGCAGGAGTGAAGTAGGAGTGTCAGAATGAGGCAAGAGGATCAGTTGTTGTGCAGATCTGTAGCCCTAAACCCATATACATAGGACCATATGTGTGGTCCAAGAGGTCTAGTATTGGTAGTGGGGAAACTGTGTAGCTATTCCATGCAAAAGGTACTGGGGTATAGGACTTCTTTCTAATCTCTCACCCATATGCTGCTGAGGTGATAGGTTTCTATTTGTTTTATGTGCTGTTTTAGTCCAATAACATGGGCAGCTGACATGGGGCTTTTCTGCTGAGAGGCAGTGACATCCATGCTATGGTTCTACCCTAGTATAAGCAATGAAACATCTTTATTAGAATAAAGTTTAGATGTCAGGATTTGTTACCTTCATATATGAAAATCCTGGGAAAGGCTGCCATTTACCATGAAAATACTGAAGGCCTGGAACATTTGCACAGACATCCTCAGAGATTTGGCTAATGTAACATGAAAAATACCAGCTGAATTGGCTGGTATTTTTGGCTTTACCTTAGTCCATGCCTATCCAATACATTTGCTGTGTGCTGATGTGATGAAGCCCAATAAATCAATTTCAGCTCTCTCCAGGATTCATTTAATAGGGCTTTGGCTTCTATAGGTCTTACATTCATGAATATGCAGATCTAGTTTTAAAAGAAATATCTTAAAAAGGATCCGAACACAGCTGGATGAAAAGCTGTTAAAAATTTGCAAAGCTGGGGTAGATTAAATATTATTTTTTCCGATATCTTGCACATCTGAAAATCTGGTTGTTAAGGTATATAACTTTTGGCACCCCAGCTTGAAAATACTGATTTGCCCAAGATGATACAGAGGGTCATGGCAAATCCATGCATAGAACCCAAGAGTTTTAAATCTTAATTTTGTAAAAGTAATGTATTGACTTCAGTGGAACTCCATACAGGCTGAAAGTTAAGCATGTACTTATGTGCATATGCACATAAGTACATGCTAAAAAGAGGCCTTAAATCTTTCAGAGAAATGTCATGATGCTAACTACTCCAGGGATGATTTACTGTAGCTATTTGTCTTCCTAATTATTTTCTGTGCTATTGACTATTCTGTTTGCATGAAAGCCATTTGATGCGTCATGAATGTGTGTAC